TAGATAGACTTGGTAGATAATGGTAACTTGAACGTGACGAATCTACTCAGTTAGTTTATCGATTGCGGCCTTACGTGTGGTAAGGGTACGGAAAGTAAAGCTCAACACTCTAGAAATAAATGCAGGATATGATTTATCTTTGTGTGTTTGCTAATTAACAGATAATGGAAATTCTAGGAAATGTCAATGATTTGAAATCTATTTTATTTATCCCAAATTTTTGTGAAAACAACCTTTACGTTTTAGTGTACTTTATTAAAAATTGATAGTGTTCAGTATTGAATATTAATAGGTAAGCAATCGATACGAACGCCACGGTTTTGCAGGTGTTTTCTGATGCTATCGACAAGATTGAAGTCGCTTACTTACGGCATTATCGAAAGCTGTGTACCAAAAGCTTCTACACCGAAAATCGTGTGGCGTATTCAGTTGGTACACGGTTACTTCCTATCATACTGTACAACGCAGTTTGTCGGTACACGCTGAGATATATTGAGATATATATATGTATATATATATTTTGATTTGTTATTACAATATAACATTTTCTTTTTTATAATGCGTATCTAGAAAATCATACCTTGCCTGATTTAATTCTAGTTTGACCTGTATTTATTCTATCATGCGTTGAGTGGTGGCTATTATGGTCCTGAAACTTTTCAGGACTATGGTATCTACCTATATTTGCGATTTGAAATGGTAACGAAGGAAGTTGGCGAAAAATCTACGCTACATTTTACCTACAAGCTATCGTACAAGAATGTCAATCGTTTATATTATAGAAAACCTAATGGGGCACCATAATGATCATTATAATAATAAGTATCGTTGAATTTGCAGTCACACGGGGTTGCGGCCTTGTCGAAGGTCATTATATGTTTGTCGCTACCGTGAAAAGTTGTCTCAAAATTCCATTAAACATTAAGTTAAAACAGCATGCTTCTGTATCAGTGATTTTTGAGAATACATTTTTACCAAGAGCTTACGCCAGGACCGAGATTGATTTACTTGACCTTTCCATTTGAAAGTTTCGTTACTTTGATTAAGTTGATAAACTACCATAGCGTTGGTTGAAACAATTACAGCCGCAGCACCTGTAATGTGCCGTTCTTGTACAATATTAAGTTTTGAATATCCATTTGATTAGCTTGAACTTCAATGTGTAGCTCCTGTTATATACATATGTTACAATGTAAGTACTTCCGATGAGCATGGATTGAAACGGATCAGTCATACTAAATAACGAAGATTGCCGGATTTCAGCAGACAGATGAAAGTTGCTAGCGCCTTTAACCCCAGTTGTTGGCTTGATATACAGTGTTCAGAAATTCACGGGAAAAGTCTGCGAAACATAATACATCCACAATCAGACATTATTTTGTTGTCAGCCATAGAAGGTTAAGGTACTCCAACATCCGCGAACATATACAGACATAATCACGCAAGCCGTATTCCGCCTACCGCTAATAGTTGGGCGCTAGAATTTGCATGGATATGGAGGAAGCTGTTTTTAATAGGGCACACACAGATCGCAGTCAAGCGATCACAATTCTGATACGTTGCATCCAAATAATCACATCAGAGCCGCCATTTGATCAAAGGTTCGAGCAGGTACTAGTTAACATGTTATGATAGCATGTCTTTACTGTATAGATAGGACATTTAAAGATGATAGCGCAGTCGCTGTCCTGAATCTAAATGGCCAAGTCGACGACCCAACTCGAAAGAACAAGGTTTAAGTAAAGCCCAAACACCTCATGGGTGGGGGCCTCGTGTATCTGGGTTTTCTTGAAGGTTCCTTCAAATAAAGACTTCCCACTTCCATTTGCATTTTGAGGGCAGTTGCGCTAAACGGCATTTTGGATTCGCCTCAGGTGACAGCTTTCTCTGTTAGATAACACCGAATTATGTTGCATCATTATCAACAAACGGCTTGTAAGCCGATCATAAGGTTTGACTTGGGCATGAGCCGGAAAGCTATAAAATTACGCAAATAAAAAACTGTTTCTCTATTAACATCGACTAACATATCGCTTTTCAGTGCCCTTGAAATACGTTTACGATCGGGCCTGGTGTCACAACGCTCAGAATGGTCCCCGATTTGAGGTGGGTGTTTATCCCTAGTCAGCTTCAACCGGGAACAGTTCCTTTCAACAAGGCGTATCGTTTCGATAGAAGAGGAAAGATATGTGAAGATAACAGCTTAGAACTCGGAAGCCAATCTTCTGTCTATTGCACGGGTTTGTTACCCGCAAGACTGAGGTCAATGAAACCGGCAGCCGATGTGGCACTCGACGGCTTCTTTGTCTTCGAGTCGTAGGATCTCTAGTCGTCCCACAAGCCTGCGTGCAGGTGAGCAGTGTAATCATAACATGTTTATATACGATCTTGTGCACAATTTATACATAGGCGATGCACTGATTAACGAAATATGGCGCGAAGTAAATAAGACAGATGTTAAAATAACTAAGTCGACTTGGGTCGAAAAGGTGCGAACTACCATAGTAAGTGAGCCGCGACTGGGAAGCAATGTAATCTGACAGGCGCATTTGTTTTTAAGTGCGTTGCTGTCGTAACCACGACGAACGGACTGCAAGGCTAAGTTCGGTCTCAGCGCTGGCGAACCATATTACCATATATTAATAATGAGGAAAATAAAAATAATTGTTACGGTCTGTAGCTGCTTATGCGGTTGCCATACCGCTTCATGGGTCACTGGAAAAACTTCAATTAGGTAGAGCAACGGCTCACCCCGATGATACTTCTAGCGGGGGTAAGTCCCTGATGCTATGCCTAATTGGTGATCCCATGGGCTTTTCCATATAAAAGAGATAAGTGAAAAGACTAAATAAAAAAAAAAAAAATATATATATATATATATATATATATATAGAACTCTATTCCGACACGAGAAACAGACTATCCCGTGCTGTTGCAATTGGCTGTACTCGTGAACCCCTTGAATTTCTTGGAAACGCCCTTTGATGATAGGGAAATTCAAATTGGCAAACGTATGTTAGAGAATGAACTGGGTTCGCTTGTAATAACATAGTGTATATGAATTTATATATGATTCAACAGATTGAACAGTTCATTAAAAGTTTTCTTTGAGCACAATGAGCGACACATTGACGAGGACCTTGTCCTTCGTAATAGTTTCGTGCTATTCTTCTGTATAGATATTAATCGTAAACAAAATAAAGCAACTGATTTAAAAGTTGAGCATGCCAGGAGAACTTTAGAATAGAATTCTAGGGAAAAAAAAAAAGATCTCAACTAAATCTCCTCTACGTATGCATAGCATGATCAGTAACATCAGCGTCTGACTATCTAGTTATCCTAATTAATGGAAAAGTCTACTTTATGTGTGTACGTATTGGGGTGCATGTTGAATTCTAACAAGGAAAAGAAAAACGACAATATTTATAAAGTCTGATTCCGAAGAGACACACCGCAACAACGCAATCAACCTGTTGCCACCTTGCTCTTTTCCCCCTACTTTCATAAGTCCTTTTGTGTACTTGTTTTTTTTCCAAGTACTAAGTCCCATAACCCTTTTTACTGTCAGAATCATCCATCAACTTGCTCACAAGTCTGCCTTTTCGGGAAGCAGTTATAGGAGATCCAACAACGGCGTGCACAAATGGATGTTTTTCGACGCAACACTGTTTCGGGAATAGCCCTCGACTGAACTCGATACGCTATTTACGGCCTTTGCCTATACCCGTCACGTAAGCGTTTCTCAGCACCAAAAGCGAATAGAAATACTACAAGCCAATTGACTGAGCTCTTAATTACTACGCTTGTTTCAATATGTTGGGTCATTGCTTAATTGTGGCCCAATATCTGACCTATGCATTTGTAAAGGTCCGCCATCTTTTTTAGGAGGGATTCTTCCTTCGAATGAAACGTATCGTTTGGCCAAAGAGACGGTGTTGTATAGTGATAGCAATTCATGAGCTCGTCTAGGATTCTGTTTTTTGATTTTACTGCTTACGAAACTGACGTCTGTGGGTCCACGGTAATCGATTTTATCAATCGTGTCGCATTGGTAAAACTGCATAAGATTATGATCATAGGTATCAACGACGATACCTAATAACGGACCTTGCTGCTTACGAACAGTACGTATCACTCACATATAGATCAGTTCGCTCACATATAGTTTGGGACGTGATCCCCGCGTCATTGTTTTCATTTACATTCGTTATGTACGACAGAGCTGTAAGAGAGCAGACTCAGTCAGACAGAATGCACAAATATATTCAATAATTCTATTGGACGGAGAGTGAAAACAGTTTTGTAAAGGCCAGAGATTGCCAGAATCAGATACCGAACGAAAGACTGCGAGCTTTTACGTTGAGGGGTGGGATTGACTACGTGCGTTGCAGCGGTCGCTGTCCAGCCGTGGAAGTGATCCCAAAACCAAATTGGGGGTCAATTGTAACT